CGTGTTCAGCTGTCTGCGTCACTCATAGCACCTGCCTATATCGAACATTTTTTCTATCGTTATCGAAGAAGGTGTATCATCGATAAATATCAATACTGTTTTATCGCCCAGGCCTAATTGCAACATGTACGGTTTTGTTGACTTGTTTGCCTGATATTGCACTAAGCATGCTTTTCGAAGGATCCATAAAGTACCTTTCAGAATAAATTGTGATTACACTTATTTCTGGACTCACCGTTATAGCCTTCAACTGCTGACACGACCAGTGGCTTTGCAATGTCCTGGTAGAGCTGAGCAGTGGTCTCTTCAGCACTGAACACACGGTCTGAAACACATGAAGGTCAGAACATAAAGCACGGCTCTACTGGTCAGTGAAGATCCGCTGATGTTCAACTCACCGAAGCTGTAGCTCTTAGTTTGAGCTCCATCATCATCCAGCTGATGGATGGCCTGTTTGTCGGCTCTCCAGTAGAGCTGCACTGGCTCTGGGCTTTCAGACTCCTCCCTTAAATCATCAGTATCATCATTAGATTATTGTGGAGTCTGAGAATCAACGTTAAACAGAGCATTAACCATCATAATGCATTCAGGTCCGTTTTGACAAGGAAGAGATGCATAAAAAAAAAATCTAAAACCCGCATAGGTTTCAAACTGAAAGTAATTAATAATTTATTTAGTTTCAGAACTTTTAAGAGTAATATTTTTTGTTTTGTTAGAAATAAATAGGATTCATAAATTTAGATGTATATACATGCACAGACATATATATATATATATATATATATATATATAACACGTTACATTCAAATTCACACACTAATTAGAAGTTGCTGATCAGACACAATATAGGTTTGGTTGAAAAATATGAATAATTAATTTATGACTGTTTTATAAAATAACAATTGGGTCCAAACGGACCCGAAAATCGTAACGTTATACATATTTTGAATGCATTATGAGGATTAATGTAATAAATTCTCTCTATGGTGACTGACAGACTTGTCAATAATTCTAAAACCTGGTAAACCAGCAAAATATGAAGATATTATTATTGACTATCATAATATTATAACATTTTACGGTTTCTATTCTGTTTTTAAAATAGGTTTACTTCAGAAATATAACAAACAGCCTTTTGTATTGATTTAAGAGGATGTCATTAGATAACTCGTCATTCCTTCACTAATAAACTTTTTCAAAATCTCTCAAGACTTTTTTTTTAGCTTAAAATGACCTTTACACACGTAAGTACATTGTTTTTAGAATAGGTTTACTTCCGAAATATAAAAAAACAACCTTTTCTATAAGTTATGCATCTGTTCGCTCCGCCACTAAGATTCTATTAGCAAATAACGTAGGGCTGTTTTATGTTACATTTAGCTCCACGCTCTAAATATTAAGCTTTTCTTACCTTTTAATAAGAGGTCTGACTCTAACGCACACTTTTACTGCGGATTCCTCCGTCATTTTCACTCCATCAACGCTAAACTGACTGAAACTAACCGACTTACTGAGCGCTCAGTGAGATTTAAAATTTCAACCGCATTTCCCATTGGACAGCGATCTGTGCGCATGCGCGCATCAACGGTCACCCATTTCCGTCGAGTTTCCCCCGACCCCGCCTACACGAATTTAAACGAGAACACAGTGAATATGCAATGCATGTACGTGGAAGACGCCTCATGAATATTACTTTTGAGGAATTGTCACTTCGGCGAAAGCTGTGTCATTGTTTATATGTTGTAATATTATACAATTCATTAATTAGGGGTTCAAGTACGTAGTGCTGAAACCCTATTGTAATTGTGAAGATTTTTATTATTATTGTTCTTCTTCCCTAAAGCGGACCGTGCAGCCCAAACCATAAGGTCTAGAGAGCTGAAACTTGGTCAGATCGTAGTAGTCTTCACCGCTATTCAGATCCAAATACTCGCCGGAATCGAAACTGCTCATAACTCTTGACCGTTTATCGTAGACTCAAGTGTCTTATATCATTGGAATCCTTGGCTCAGTCAAAATAAAACGACTGACAGTTGATGGGCACCATTGACTTCCATAGTATGTTTTTCCCTGCTATGGAAGTCAGTGGTGCCCATCAACTGTTCGGATACTAACATTTTTCAAAATATCTTCTCTTGTGTTCAGCAGAAGAAAGAAACTCATACAGGTTTGGAACAAGTGGAGGGTTAGTAAATGTTGACAGAATTTTCATTCTGGAAGTGAACTACCCCTTTAAGTTTTCTGTTTTTGTTGTTACATAGTTTATATGCTGTAATTTTATACAATTCATTAATTACCTTTCGTGTTACCTTTTCCATTTTTTGTTGTTTCTTCAATTGTTTTGGGTTTCAGAATAGTTTTAAATATATAATACGTTTTAAAAACCGTATTTTAGCTAGTGTTTCATGTTTAAAACATGTATTCTGTGTCAATAAATAGGTTTTCACTGGGTCTATCCAAAAACTGACTTTCATTAATAAAAACCCACCTAGAGAAATATTCACTGGAGTAAAAAGTGTGACAGCTAGCTGATGGATTAAACTCCAATATAACAAGAATTCCTGCTTTAAATCAGTGGTGTGCCTTCTTTATTTTTCTCAAAACACACAGAGACCCAGAGCTGAGGTATATTTATGGCAAAACATTTATTTGAAATCATAATTATGACAACTATCACATTATTAAAAAGGATGATTTGGACCTCAATAATCAATGGAACCTAAAGACATTTACAGCTTTTTACATGAATAGAAATTGTTTCCAAAAAGTAGAGCTACCTGTATCTTTGCTAGGGCACTTAAAAAGCGATTAATGCACAGAAGCGTCTTTGTGTTTATGGCAACAACGGCAGGACTAGTCAACAGCACCTGACTATTCTCTAACCCGTTAACCGATCGCTCGACCTCAGACAACATTATTCACTCGCACTGTGAACAACCTCAGACAGGCTCATAAAACACCGGTGGGTTATCACAATCAATAAAGGCATTAATTAATTAAAGCAATTAAAATAAATCACTAAGACCAGTCAAAGACAAAAACATTGAATTCAGGATAAAAAGGGTTTAAAATAAATGAAATAAAAATGAGAAATGCACTGAATTATTCATTCAGACAGTATGCAGTTGTTGAAACTAAAGTCTATTCAAAGCATTTGTAATCCTGAACTTGTTTTTGAACTTGAGTTTACACATGTAATTGGTTATAAACACAAATATACACAGATATTTGTCCAATTTGACATTCAGATCAGAGAACAATGTGATTATTAATAGTATCTAATATTTATTTCACCCTTGTGCTGCTGAAAATCCTATACCTATATTGGTGTTCCTGTCAAAAATGTGCAGCATTTTGCTTGTAAATCTCTCATTATGCTACATTATCACCAATTATTGGATTCAATTCTTTTTGTCAACTTGTTTTCTTTCAGTTAGGACAGGTTTTGTGTTTCTGGAACTGATTGATCGTAGGCCTCATTGATCTGAGCTTATGCACCTGCAGTGTATGACTGAAAAAAAAAACATTATTTGTGGACAATATTCAGTTTTGAGTGGAAAAAAAGCATCATTTATGGATAATTTTGGCAATATACCTTCAAAAACTAAGATGAATGAGCTTAGATCAGTGAGGCCTACGATCAACCAGAACTTCAAAAGAAATTCAAAACTTGTGCTAATTGAAAGAAAGCTGACAGAAAGATTGAATCTAAGTCCATTTGGTTAAAAAAAAAACAGCATAATGACAGATTTACAAGCAATTTTTGTAAGATGGCCATTTTTGACAAGTGTAACAAGGTGGGGGGAAAATCCTAAAAGTTGTCATACCCTGTGTGAGTAAACTCAGAAAGTTTTAATACAATGTGATAACATTTTTGGGAAAAACAACCGGAACACAACACAAGGGTTCATTTTACTTACAGATGTTATAACTTACTGAGCTTTATGGATATCAAAAGAATGACTGCAAAGCATTTAGCTCTTTATTCTTTCCTCAATCTTAGATATTCTTTCTCATTCGGTTCTGTTTAAAAGCCTAAATGCTAATCATGCTTGAACAGAATGGTGCATGTAAACTCACAGAGTGTTTGAACTCAGTTTACAGTTCAATAATGCCAATAAGATCAATAATCACTAACACAAATACTCAACCTTCACCGTGAGCTCTTAGAATAAATGTCAACCTGTTTAAAATAGCGGAAGCAAATCTATGTTGTTATTTGACAGTTCAGTGTTGGTGTGATTATGAAACGCTACAGGTGGAGGATTTGGGTGGCTGCTCCAGGATGGACTCTCGGCGCAGGTCGTTGGGCACAGTGCCGTTTGGACCCCACACGTTCAGCTCACCGTAGATGCCCGTCTCGAGCATCTCCTCCTGCCAGGGTATGGAGATGTTTCCTGATGCAAACTCATCAAATAACTCCTTGTCATCGTCCTCCAGGCAGACCCCCTTCACAGTAGAGAAAGCGCCCACGTCATCCAGATTCTTGGCATAGACTGTCTTGGAATCCGGTACGAAAGGAGGCAGCAGAATCCCTGTAGGGCACCAGTGTGGTGTTAGTGCACTTAGAAGACAACCAAGGCTGCATTTATTTGATCAAAAATACAGTAAAAACAGCAATATATTTTAATATTACTAGAATTTAAAATAGCTATTTTCTATGTGAATATATTTTCAAATATAATTTACTCCTGTGATCAAAGCTGAATTTTTCAGCATTATTACTCTAGTTTTTTAGTATCACATGATTTTTTTTTTTTTTTTTAGATTAATTGTGATTCAAAAGTTCGGGGAATATAAGAAGCTAATACTTTTATTCATCAAGGATGCATTAAATTGATTTAAAGTGACGATAAAGACATTTATAATGTTACAAAAGATTTCTATTTCAAACAATTGCTTTTTTTTTTTAATTCATCAAAGAATCCTGAAAAATAAAATGCATGAAAATTCAGCTTTGATCACAGGAATACATTACATTTGACAATATATTCACACAGAAAACACATATTTAAATTGTAATAATATTTGACAAAATTACTCTCAAATATATGCAGCCTTGGTGAGCTGGACAGACTTGAGAATGACCCCAAACTTTTGAACAGAAGTGTAAAGGTAAATTAAATCCACAATTTAATCATGCTGCTCACAGAGGAAGAGTTTGTGCTAAACTATCATCAGCTTTACACCTGCGTCCAGTTTCCTCCAGTTGATTTCGCTGAAGAACGGATGTGCGCGTAGCTCATCACACGTGCCGTTCTTGAAGCCCAGTCTCTTGTCCACTTCTTTAGCCAGAAGACCCTCACAGATGGACTTGGCATTCTCACTGAAGTTTTCTGGGTACGTCACCGGGTCGTTCAGGATTCGCTTCTTAACCTCTTTATTCTCC